GTTATGGCATAATAGGATGGGCCATGCCCTTTTAGAAATTCTGAAGTAGTTAGATTCTTTGAAACAAGAAATTAGACATCTTGATCATAATAAGTGTGAGGTTTGCATTAGTGCTAAGTAAACTAGACTTCCTTTTCCTTCCAATACTTTAAAAACTAATTGAATCTTTCAATTGATTCATATAAATGTTTAAGGCCTATATAAGCAACCAACATATAATGGTCATAGATATTTTCTTATGGTGGTTGATGATTTTTCTCAATGCACTTAGTTATACTTACTTAAACATAAGAATGATGCTGTACATTGCATGCAAATTTTATTGCTTATGTTCATACTTAATTCTCTGCTTGCATTAGGAGAGTTAGAAGTAATAATGGCCTTGAATTTGTTAACTCTAAAATGAAAAATATGTTTAATAGTGAAGGCATTCTACATGAAACCTCTTCTCCCTACACCCCTCAACAAAATGGAATTGATGAGAGGAAACATAGGCATTTGCTTGAAGTAGCCAAAAGTTTAATTTTTCATTCTAATATGCCTTTAAAATTTTGGGGAGAGAGTATTAAAACTACTACCTTTCTAATTAATAGAACCCCCTCAAAGAGCTTAGGTTATAAAACTCCTTATGAGCTTATATATAACAAACCACCAAATGTATCATTTTTAAAAACTTTTGGTTGTTTAGCATTTGCTATTGTTCTGAATTCCTCTGATAAATTCATGCCTAGATCTAAATCATGCATTTTTATGGGTTATCCACCTAATCAGAAGGGCTTTATTTTATTTCATCTTAAAACAAAGAATTTATTTGTTAGTCGATATGTTACTTTCTTAGAAAGTAAATTTCCTTTTTGTGACAAGTATCTCTCTTCTTATAACACTTTTACGCCTTTATCTGTGAATGACCCTTTCTTGTATAAGCACGATTCACCTATAATTATTGGAGATCAAAATTCTCCTCAAAATCCCACCAATTCAAAATAACATTTCAATCATCTAGACAATTTTGTTCCACTACATAACTCTGACTTACCTCTGCATGAAGAGGAGGAAGGAAATCCTACTCCAATTGATACTAAAAATACACTCTGACCACCTCCAAAAAGCATTAGAAAGCCTCCATCTTGGTTGAGTGACTACATTTGTCATGCAGATTTTAGTCATAAAGGTAAAAAGGTAAGATCTAAGTATCCTTTACATTATTACATGTCATATGCTAATGTTTCATCTACATATAAGGACTATTTATTGCATCTTGGTGATTATTTGTCAGAACCCTCTAGTTTTAAAGAGGCAATAAAAAGTCAAAAATGGATGGATACTATGAGAGATGAAATAAAGGCTTTAGAAGATTATAAGACTTGGATAATTATGGATTTACCTAAAGGAAAGAGGCCTATAAGATGTAGGTGGGTTTTCAAAATACAAGGCTGATGGGATTTTAGAAAGGTGTAAGGCAAGACTTGTAGCTAAAAGGTATAGTCAACAAGAAGGAATTGACTATTTTGAAACCTTTTCTCCAGTAGTTAAAATGGTTATGGTTAGGACTGTTCTTACACTTGCAGCTATGCGTGCTTGACCTTTATTTCAAATAGACGTGCATAATTCCTTTTTACAAGGGGATTTGCATGAGGAAGTTTATATGTAAATTTCATAAGGATTTGATCAAGTTGGGCCTAATAAGGTAGCCAAATTGACCAAATATCTATATGGCCTTAAGCAAGATTTAAGGCAGTGGAATGCCAAGCTTGCAGATGTGTTAATTCAAGGGGGTTTAGGCAAAGTAAGTATGATTATTCTTTGTTTATTAAACAAAAAAAGTCTAAAATCACTCTTATTCTTACTTATGTTGATGATTTAGTTGTGACTGGTAATAATGTTCAAAGTATAAATACTATTGAACAGCATCTACATGAAAAGTTTAAAATTAAAGATTTGGGTAATTTGAATTACTTTCTGGGAATAAAGTTGGCTAGATCTGAAAAGGGTATTGTTTTGACTCAGTGAAAATATGCTTTAGATTTAATTTTTGATATGGGTTTGAGTGGTGCAAGGCCTTTTAGTATTCTAATGGAATAGAACTTTCGTTCATCAGCTGAAGGGAGAATTATAGATCAAAGGAAGAAACAAAAAATTGATCACAGTACAAAGCAAAACAGGAAAGAAGATCCTTTCTTAAAAAAGCTAGCTTCATATAGAAGACTGGTAGGTAGGTTATCTTATCTTACAACTACTCATCCTATTTAAGTTTTGTTATGCAGAATTTGAGTAAGTTTATGAGTACACTAAGGAAATCTCACATAGAGGTTGTTGTGAGAGTTGTAAGATACCTCAAACAATGTCCTAGACTGGGTATCTTGCTATCTGTATCAAAAGGAAATACAATAGAGTGCTTTGTTGATTCTGATTGGGGAACTTGTGGAGATACAAGAAGATCTATGACTAGCTATGTTGTGAAGTTTGCGGGATCTCTGATTTGCTAAAAAACCAAGAAACAGAACACAATTTCAAGATCCTCTATAGAAGCAGAGTATCGTGCTCTTAAATCTATTGTTGCAAAGGTGGTTTGGATCACCAGGATGCTGAAAGACCTAAACTTACGTAATATTGAGCCTGTGCAAGTGTTTTGTGATAGTAAAGCTGCGATTCACATTACTAATAATCTAGTTTTTTATGAAAGGACTAAACATATAGAAATTAATTGTTATCTTGTTAGAGAAAAGTTACAACATGGTATTGTTAGTTTACAACATGTTAGAACCAAGGAGCAGTTAGCTGATGTATTTATCAAAGCCCTTGGTTGTGAAGATTATGAGAGAATGTTGTACAAGTTAAGAACCATTAATTTGTTTGGATCCGAACTTGAAGGGGGTATGAGAAATAATTGTCTAAGTAAAGTTAGTGGGTTTCATTATTAATATTTTATATCTGTTGGGTCTTCTTATGGGCTATATAAGATGACCCAAGGTGTCTTGTAAAGTTGGCTCAATTTTAATAAAATAAGTTTTGATTCTTTCAATAATTAAGGATCTCCAAGATTACAGAAGCTTGATCGCCTCTACGCCTCTCCAACTCAATTCAAAAGTGTTGCGTGTGTCTCTCTCAATTCAATTCAAGGTGATTTCTGCATCCAACACTGTATATATATATATATATATAAAACCTAATAATTTAATAAAAAAAACTACCCTTAATAACTCTAATTAAAAACTTTAATAAAAAAAACCAAAATGAACATAAATGAAGTTTCTAAGATTTGATTCTTGAATTGATCTTCAAGTATGCATACATTTTTCTATTCAAAATAATTTCCATCAATATTTTTCAAATTAAATTCAAAAATTTGTACAAATAAAATAAAATAAAATTACAAGTATGTAAAAACATCAAAGAGATCATTTATATTTTAAAATTCAAGACTTAGGTAGTTAAAATCTAAAATTTAAAGATTGTCTAATAAAATTAAATAATATTCAATTAAACTCAATCAGCCTCAAATAAATATTAAAAAAATAAATTAAAAGAATAAAGGTATATAAAATTGTAATTTATCACACCTCATGACTCTTATATAACAATGCTACCTCCAACTCCTTCTTAATGTGGGACTTAGTTGAGAGTAGTGATGAGTATGTAATGCATAAACATAAGCTGCTTTTTTTCCTCTTTATTCCCATTAATATTTATTAATTCATTTTTCTTAATCCTCAAACTATTTTTATAATCTAAGCACAAATATTTAATTTTATACTTCTAATTATTTATCTATACTTTTATATGAAGTTTTTAAATTTAATTTTAATAAGTCTCCTAAAAATACCTCATAGTTTGTCATTTTTACGTAATTGATATTGATTAATGAACATTGAATAAGTTTTCCCTCTTAGCTTTCAATTTCATTTATCTTACAATAATTTTTTAATCATTATCAATAGTTAATAATTATCTTTGAATATTTATTATCAATAGTAAACACTAATAAAATTGTATTTCATTAAAAAAAAGAGTAAACATTCGTAAAATCTCATTTTATAAATCTTATAAAATAATATTTTCAAGATATTACTTATAATATAATATGTAATATATAAGATTTTTAATATAATAATTTAATCATAAACGATCTGATCATGGTTGAACCCTAATTCAATTATTGAACTATGAATTGCTACTTCAAACTAGTTTGATTTTTAAAACTTTGCTCTAAAGCCTGGTCCAGAATGTGGCTGACCCGCTTTGTTTTGCATTGCTTTTGCTGCCTACCCACTTCATCCATGCCATACATTCCGCAAATATCAACGAGTAGCGCGGATCATGATTTGTGTCCACTGTGATCTCGAAATGATTACCAGACAAGTCTGTGAAATAAATTTAACTATTTGTCCTCATCTAATTCCAATCCCACTACAAGTATTGCACACAGATGTTATTATTATGGTCTCCCTAATAACAAACCCTTTAGTAGCGGTTATATAGCTATAGTGCTGTACGATCCAGGATTACTTACGGGCAAGTGATGGATTAGGCTCTGTTTAGTTTTATGTAGGAGGCCTTCAAACATTCATTGCAGAAAGCAACCAGACAAGAGCTTTTCCGTTATCTGCTTTAGAATGTGAGCTAACTGAATCAAACACGGTCATTTGAGTCATATGTCCAAAATTAAATTGAATTACGATCCTCTTTTCAGGAAACAGATCGGCAAATTTAGATATGCACAAGAACCCATTTGTTAATCAAACCAAATGCTTCAAGATCATCACGCTCATAGACATTATTAGCACTAGCATCTTCAGGGAGTGGAGACCGGAGGGTAAATTCGAATGACACTAAGCTACTAGCATTCAGAGCAGATACCTAACTTTGTTGAATCGCGCCATCTTACTGTATTACAATCAATCAAATGTATTCACATATTTTACCATCACGTTAGCACTGAGGTTACTAAGTTGTAGTTTTACTAGCGGAAGGGGAACAGAGACAACACAGCAACAGCACAATCAAGCATCAATTATCCTACGTCGATTTGTATTGCAAAACTCCCTTGGTGTATAAACTCAGGAATATGAATTAAACTAGCACAAAGCCTCAAGCTATACATTTTTACCTGTATTTATTGACAAGATTGCACCAAATGAAGGCAAATTTTAACCAGAACTTGGCAAAAGCTCTGCTTCCAAAAGACGCGAGTTACCCTGACAAGTGCCTAAGGAGTGTTATCTTGAAGCACACATGACAGAACCATGATTTGATTTCTTACGGTCACCAGGAGGTATGGATTTCTTACACGGTTGAGAACCCAATTTCTTCCTCTTTTTGATAGAATAACTTTCCTGGGAAGGCCCAGCCATGGCACCAAGGAGTTTTGATCTCCTCGAACCATGCACGTTCTTGCTAAGATATCTCACAGCTTCTTTCCTCTCAGAATCGTCCACAGTCTTATTAAATGGTCTTTTACACCTCTCATGATTCTCCATCTTCAAATGATCCCGCGGAATGTGGCAAGTAATATCTAAAAGCTCCGACTCAAAGATGTCAGATACGGTTCCAAAACAGGGACAGAAAGACAAGGCATTGGGGAAAAAAAGTTCATTAAGTTACCTGGAGAATTAGAATCTGGACCTGGGGAGCTGGGTGGAGTCAAAGGATGAAAAACGTTCTCTTTAATATCAACAGTAGCCTGATGACCTTTTTCGTCAAGTGAGGGCAGGGTACCATTTCTCTCATTGCATGGCACTTGTACATGAGCGGTTTCTTCTTTAGAGCCATTAGAACTAATAGTAGCTGGATTTGACTCAAAGTGAACTTGTCCATCTTCAAGATAAGAATCCATATAACCATTGAGGATTTCATTAAATCCTCCACTAGAATAAACAGGCATCTGCTGGGAATCTCCTTTGGATTCATTTGCACCACCACTAGCAAAATCTGCTTCATTAGGATCAGGGCGATACAAGCCATCAACATTGTCTAAAACTGACTTTGGAGAAGTATTCAGAACACTTGGGGCCCAGCAGGGGCTTGAAGCATCCATTATAGTAGATAACCATGGTGTACCCCGTCGTGCATAGAGTAATATGTATGCTTCCTGAGACAGCACAAAACCTTCTGCAACTCTGTTAACCTACAGAAGATTAATCAGGAAACAAAAATTAGTCAACACAACGAATAAATAAGCACAAACCAGTTGTAGGAGAGACAACTTAAAAGGTGAATTTCAACCATTGCATAAAACAATAAGTTGACAATTAAATGTGCACATCAGGAAGGAAAAAAAGATACCATTACCAAATTGGCAAAAGCCTTTTGCAAATCAATAACACATTCAGATATACCCAAAGGAAACAATTGAATCTCAACAATATATAAAGCCTTTACTATGAAGGGTTCCAAAAGGCCCTAAATATAAGTAATAAAGAGAAAGAATATCCTAAAAGTCATCTCATCTCATCAGAAATACATCCTGGCAAGGTAATCAGGGGAAAGTGTAATTTTTAAAAGTTCTAAATATTACCTTAGAGTCATCCAACCTATACCACATGCCAGGTGCAGTGCGGACAAAGCAAAAGTAATGACCAGACGTAGATGAAAACCCAACATGCACAACAATGGCATATAGGTCATATTTCAGTGCTTCCTGTCATCACAATAATGTCAGAAAATGCTCTCCAAAAACTACAATTTACAAATATCGGATGAACTCCAGAAGGGGGAGTAATTGTAGAACAACTCACATTATTGCTCTGGTTACAATTAGTATAAGGCTGCAAGTCCAATTCTAGAGGGAAATCCACATGATTATCAATCTTTTCAACATGTATCCCATCTGTCTTAAATCTCTTTAAATGAAATGTTGCAACTGAAGGTGTCTGATCCAAAATAAGCCTCTTCTCCATGGATACTTCTTCCTTGCAGCTATCACATATAAACTTAGCATCTATCTTTTCTACCTTAGTGAAAGACGCTAAAGCACTTGGAAGGCTGTCCACATTTTCTATCTCCAAGCTGAAGTCGATGAGAGGCTCATAAGTGTCTGAACAGTGACCACAGTTACAACATTGGAGCTGAAATGCAGAAGTCAAGACTAGAAAGAATCAACAACTTGAAGACTCTGAACCATAAAGAAAACATCAATTCACATATCACTAATTTGATTAGAAATAAATAATTAAAAAAGGGGAGATTTCTGTCATACTTTGCTCATGAGGCGACCTCCAAATATTTTCTCCACTAGATTGTCAACTTGTTCACAACTCTTGCTATTTCTCTTTAAATCTAGAAAGCATATTTCCAGTTTATCTAAGAAGCACTGCAGGAATTCATGGGCATCCTCCTGCTGGTATCTTGTAAAAAAAGAAGAAAAGTCTAATAGTGGGTCACGGATAACAATATCAGAAGTATAAAGTACTCATCCATTGGAGCCAGGCTTGCAAATGATGAGGTTCTATTTCATTAGCCATTGATGTAACCTGGAATTAACACTAAACTAGACACAGTATACGCTCCAATATAAACATACCAAGTAAAAAAAAAATCAAAAGAAAAAAGAATCAAACTACTGTTTGAAGTGCATGCTATTCATATGGATGCGTATGCCCAATACATGCAAGACTCTTAGAAGCATTGATTGATAGTTCACAACAATCATTGGTAGCATAACTGATAGCAAAATACAGATGCAGGAAAAGTTCATAAAATCTCAAATTGTAGGGGAAAAAGGATACAATTCAAATTGTCAACAAGTTTCAAAGGTGAGAGAATTCTTCCAGAAGACTTCAACGAAAGTCCGATGTGATCACGAAGAACGCAGACAACACAGAATCCACCATTAGCACCTGAAACTCCCAAATCCAGAAATGAAAACCTCGCAATAAAGATACTAGGTGCACTAAATCAAGAGAATGGCATTCCAAATAAGAAATAAGCCTTACTTTCACAAGGTGCAGCATGACTGCAAGTCCAAAGACCCCAAATTAGTGGCACAGTATGTGTGAGGCATTGCAAGATAACATTGAAAAAGCAAGTGTTGCCAAGATTTTCAAGCCCAGAACCCTGTGATACAAATAATTAATCAAAATCCAAAAACCGCAGGACTAGTATTTAAACATTTTCTACATAGACATAAAGAAACATACCACCGTGAAGGGTACAATTCCCGAAGCAGTAAACCCATTGTTCAAAGGCGTGCCAGTATCTCCAGATGGAACCAAGATTTCATCGGAAGAAAGCTCGGAATTCCAAGCTTCTTTAGGGGGCAACTGTGAAGATGAGGGCCACGAAGGCCACTGCTTGGGAGATGATACAGCCGGATAATATGATAAATCGTTTACCGATCGAATTGGCTCTGGACCATCATCTCGATCTTCTCTACTGGAATCACGGAGTGCGAGGTAATAATTGTTGTCGGCAGCCGTTGCCATGGCCAGTGACGACTCGTCAGGAGTTGATGACTGAGGCACCAAAGGCGCTGAGATTTCTATCGACGCAGAAGGTGAACATTCATCTAGGGTTTTGGAACCTAAATAGGGATGAGACATACTTATATTGGACGGTAAAGACGTATTAATCCGCTCCCCTGGGGCTTCATTGGATAAAGACGCTGAAAATCCCATTTGATTTGATACATATGGAACCAAAGAACGGTCATCAAGACTTGAAGAATGCGAAGACGGTGAAGACCCAGTAATAGCTCCCTCCGAAATCGTTGCAGGGCCGCCGGGGGGTATTCCGCCAAGAACAGAATCTGAATACCTAGCTTGTAACATCTCAGCTAGGGGGATCTCCAAAACGAAATCAGGACTTGTGATGGAGGCGGGATCGGTGGGCAATGGCGAAAAGAGGCGGGAATTAGGGCTAAAAGGTTTAAGTTAGGAATTTGGAAGGGTTTGGGATTTTAGAAATTGGGGGAAACTGAAGTAAACAGGGGGGGAAGGAGAAGAGGGAAAGATAAAAAGTATTCAAACGAAAGAATTTTGAAGAGGAGAGAGATTTTGAAAAGAGAGGGAAAACTGAAAAGGATCCCCAATTTCGCATTTGCCGCTTCGCACCAAAAATTTCAGGAAAAGGACGTTGCGCTCTCTCTCCCTCTCACGTTCTGCCAGCGACATGCGAACATGGAGATCGAGGGCCTCCTCAGCATACATACAAGTATTTATAAAATCCCTTGAACGTTCATGTCAGTATAGATAATAAAGATAAAGAAAATCATGTACTATAGATAATTAGATACTCGATGTGATCCCGTATAAATAATAAAAGAGTATAAGATTTTAAATTTATTCGAATTAATCAAATCTATCTCCGAGTCTCTTGTTTTATATTTATCAAGGGGTACTTACGTCAAACTCTTCCCTTTTATTGCTTCCAACCCCAATTGAAGTTAAATAAAAGGTTTTTAAAATTAAAAAATAAGTAATTTTTAAATAATTTAAAGATTTTATAAAAAATAGGTTTATTTTGTAATAATTTTTCAATAAGCAGATATTATTTTGTGTTTGGCTACAATAACAAAAAAGTGATTATTAATTAGTTATTTTTAAATTTATGATATCTTTCTTATCTTTTGTTTTATAAAAATAATCTATTATTATATCATTTTAAAATTCTATGATATTTTTGCATATCTCCCTTTTTAAAATGTTCTCTCTCATCTACCATATTAAATTATTTTTAAAAGTTACTTAAAATAGTCCCTTAAAATAATTAAAAATTTATTTTTTTGAATTATAATTATTTTCAAAAGCTAATCAAAATTATTTTTGTTTTTTTATTTTTTTAACAATAAATATTTTAATATATATATAGAACAATTTCATATTTATTAGATATATATATATATATTATACATATATAATATTTTTTAATTTAAATATTAAATTATCGATTTGACCATTGGTCCATCCTAATTGAATCATACAAACTATGAACTGTTGGCTTTTTTTGTTCAATATTCGGTCCAATTTTAAAAATATTTATTATAATGAAACGAGTTATTTATTTTCTTACATCAAGTTATTCACTGACCTACAGATATTGTTTGTACTATTATTAAATATTAATTCTATTTCAAGTGTTATAATCATGATAAAACAAGTTGTTTGTATCATTATTGAATCTTATTTTATTTCATGTTGTAGTTACGATAAAATGAGTTATTCATTTCCTTACATGAGTTGTTTGTACCATTACTAAATTTAGATTTTACTGTATGTTGTTATCATAATAAATCAAGTTGTTTATTTACCTACATCAAGTTATTCATTGACTTATAAGAATTGTTTATATCATTATTAAATATTAATTTTATTCTCAGTGTTATAATCATGATAAAACGAGTTGTCTATTACCTATGCTGAAGTTGTTCATTTACTTGCTTGAAGTTGTTGGTTGATCTACAAAAGTTGTTCATGCTATTATTAAATATTGATTTTATTTTAAGTATTGTAATCATGATAAAATAAATTGTTCATTACTCATGTTAAAATTGTTTATTTTCCCGCATGAAATTGTTGACAATTACAACAGGTCGCCATCAAAGAGATTTCTCTCTAAACCTCCTAAGATTTTTTTTTTTTCAAACTTTAGTTCTCAAGCAAAATGCAACATAGTGACAGAAATAAATATTCAAAAGCATAATCTTATTACTAGATGAGTCAAGAAATTAAACGCAAACAGAATGATATAACAACCACAACGGCAAAATTCACATCAAGGGAGTCATAACGCTTGAAAAGAGAAGGAATCAGGCTTCATGGCTAGAAGTGAGAAAAACGAACTTCTCTGTCGGTGCAATGAAATGCATAAGTTGAATCCAATACTGGCATAAGCTCGTGTTGTTGGATAAGTAATCAAGAATGCTAACTTCAAGCTACTAGTGTACTCCCATCACGAGAGACATCTCGAAACCTTTTTGCGTGTATGTTTGTCAAAATCAACTCCTTTTGATGGATTGATTCCACACAAAATAAAATCTGCAGAACATAGGCTCTGCATCTCCCATCTGACTAGCAATAAATTGAGTTCCTAAATTCCTATCAGCTTACTAGTTATATATAACAGCAAAAGCAAAATAGAAAAAAGACAGTATTAAATATAATTAAACATAAATTATATATCCAGGGAAAAATGAAAACTTCTCCACCCAAAAAACTCACTCAACTACTAGAGAGAGCATGTTGTAGCCAAATTATTGGAATGACAACATGCATAATCAATTTGAAGGCCCCAAATTTCCTCATGAAGTACATAATTTCTAAATCAATTCCACAAGACAAAAGTAAGGTCACTGAAGAAACAATTCACAACAAAGTCCTTCAATTGTAATTCTGGAGCGAAAAACTTGGTCATTCAAAATCTATATTTCTTCTCCAACAAAAATACAACCCCGTCAAGTTGAGATGTTCAAAATCATAATCGATTCCTTAATCAAAATCAGAGGTCCCCGTGAAGCCTGTTCTACTGATAGAAACTTAAGTAAACTAACTTTCGCATATGATCACATCCCCATGCTGAATAGCTTTGAATTCATTCTCCAAGATTTGGTAGTTCTATAGGCACAGGAAAACAAATGACAAAGATGAAACTCACTATCTTAAATATCAAAGCAAACTCTCTCCGATATCTCTCTCACTCTCTCTTACTATAGATCTCTCCAGTCCTTAGATTCCCCGTAAATCCCTACTTCTTCGGAGCCAAAAATGTCAAACAGTGATAAACACCCCTTCGCCTTTCGTCCCAGTTCGACGTTGACGAGATTGGTAACCAAGAATGCTAACTTGTTAGCTGCTTTAATGGAGTTGCATTCTCGTAAACGACTTTCCACTCCTAACATTGATACCTGCGTTGTGAAGAGGGCTTTGCCAAAGAGACTCTCATCTTTGATCACGCCTGCGTTGCTTCATAGCATCATCTTCAGAGTGCATAGAAGTGAAAAACAAAATGGTAATTTTACTCTGTATTTTAATTTTACTCTAATACTCCTAGTCTGAAGTGAATTTTCAAGGTTTAATGGGTATTGTTTTTCATTGTGTAGTCAGTGAATCCTAAATGAAATTTTCCTTTCATTAAATACAATTTGCTGTCTTCATTTTTATAAACTTTCAAAAATACCCTTCATTAGTAAGAGAGAGGTAAGACAATTTATTTTTCTATATCACTATTTGAGTTAGACAAATTCAAGTATTGTTGAATCTAATTTGAGGTAGCTCTCCCCAAAAATATTTCCCACAATCCCATAAGCTCTAACTTGACACCTTGTGCTTAAATGATTATAACCTGAAAAGAAAAATTATTTAAAGGGTGAAATGATAACGGACAATACAAGAATAATTATGATTAGTGAAACCTTATATTTTTGCCAAGACGTATTATATTTCGAAGCACTAAATCACATTAAAAAAACCTTATAAAATGGTAAAGGATTACAGGGGGAGTACTTTATAACAGATGACTTAGCTGCTCTGCTGATAACCGCCCCGGCTCATTCCGTGTTAAAAATTTCAATATTTATAATTAAAACATGCTTTTTCCCTATCTATAAATCTGAAAAACATTCCGCTGGGGGAAAAACAATCTAAAAACAATTCCATTATTATAATGTAAATACAATGGAATGGTATTCCGTCGATAGCTCCAAATTATCAATATTCTACGAGCATCATGAAATATTTGTATTCTCCTTTTGTTTTTCCTTTCTTGCAAGAAAATAATTACTTCTAAATCATCCCTTGCCATTCAAATGAATTAAAATTAACTAAACATCCAAATTTTATGTAAAAAGTAACAATTCCTCACCACGAGAGATCTATGGTTAATTCAATCTTCATTTTCCCTCCATTTTTTAATAAAAGAGTAATTTCAATGCTATAATTTTCTTTATTTTATTCTATATTTTGTATGAATGCCAGCCAGTATTATCATATTAAATGAGTACTAAATAAACAGTAGTTATAACTCATCACCTCATATGTCCATCGCTTTAATATACATTGGCCATGTTGGGTTATTCAACTATGAAATTTAAAAATACATCTGCAAAATCATTTCCATATTCAAGAAATGATCGATAGGATTCGAAAGAAGACCATAGCTCTCGAGCCGAACAAAAGACCATGACCTGATTCTATGTTAGCTAGCATTGCTTCGTCAAAACTTCAATATGTACCAACAATGATGTTTATTAAAAAAAAAAAATGTACCAACAATGATTTGATTTAACAGAAAATGCTGCTTCCTTATAACATGATTAACTAAGATTTAAGTTTTCATTAGGATAGGTGCTCACATAATATTCAACCAAATCTTGGAAAGCATTGTCCAGCACCTCCCACACCAGTGATTGGGAGCAATTAAAAAACATTTCGATATAGCATCGTCACTCCAAAGCGCCCTCATGTATTATAGCATTGAAGATTCCAAATGGACTCCCTTATTTTTGCTTTTCTATATAGACTCTCAAAATATATCCTAAGATATCCACACTTAAATTCTAATACTTGCAATTATGTTGGCAAACCAGGAATAAGTTCCAAAGCAAATAACTATTAATAACATAAATAACAAACATTGAAATTTCACTAAACCAAAAACAAATTGAGGCTTCACACAAAAAAAGGGCCAGGCACCAAGAAGGGTGATCATTATGACATCAGGTGAGAATGCATAGCTGAGAACAAGAAAATGTTTATCAGTAACTTGTTCCAACATTTGTTTTCTTTTCTTTTTTTTTTGGTTGAGTTCAACGTTCGAATTCTAGAGCTTTATTTTGTCTGACGATCACATCCACATCATCAAGTTTCAGGCTTGGCAAAGCCAGAAAAAATTGTTCACTCAAAAAAAGGCTCAGCAAAATCACAAATATCTACGAGAAAGTAAACTTCTAATTGATGACACCTGCGTTCGTTACAACTTGCAAATTTGCATGACACAGACTAATATAAAATACCTGAACATACTATGGAACTCAAAAGTCAAAACAATACCTGTGCTACAAACACATATATATAAGAAACACCAACCTGCGACAAGACTGAATGTTAATATCTTATTTTGATTTCTCATTAAAAAAAAATTGTATATCACTCTTCTATTGCATTGGAAACATAAATGTCTGGTATCTG